GTTAAGTCTGGCGTGCCTCAGGGCTCTGTCCTGGGACCCCTTCTCTTCCTTATATATATAAACGATCTCCCTGTTAGCATTTCTTCATCGATTCGACTCTTCGCAGACGATTGTGTATTGTATAAAAAGATAGTACATATAGACGACACCTCGACACTTCAAACCGATTGAGCTCTATTGCTTCGTGGTGCGACAAGTGGCAAATGCGAATTAACATAGATAAAACCAAATATATGACCGTGACAACAAAGAAAACATCAATTAACTTCAGCTACTCTATCAACGGTGTCCCTCTGGAAAAGGTAAATAAATATAAGTATCTGGGTGTTTTTATTTCTGATAGTCTTAATTGGCATGACCATATCAACTACTTAGTTGGGAAAGCAAATCGTTCTTTAGGATTCATTAGGCGGAAGTTGTATTTAGCTCCCCTGAAACTCGTTTGCTAGCTTTTAAGTCCTTTGTCAGATCGCAGCTCGAATACGCCAGCATCATATGGTCTCCCCACCAGGACTACCTGATTGACCAAATTGAAAGAATTCAAAACAAAGCCGCGCGCTTCATATTTAGTGACTATTCACCTTACACGAGCGTTTCGGCACTGAAACAAAGGGCTAATTTACCTTTATTAAAAGTCAGGCGCAAAGTCTCCCGTCTTACCTTCATTCACAATATTTATTACTATAATGTTAGCCTTAAGGAACTCTGATTACCTCCAACTCATCGCATCTTTCCCAGACATGATCACCCTCACAAAATTCGTTTATCAAATTGTCGCACTAACCAGTTTCGCAACTCGCCATTACAGCTTGCCATTGCAGAATGGAACTCTTTGCCCCACCACGTTGTAGATATCATAGATAAAGATGAATTCAAATTATCATGTGAACGTTTGTTTCACTTTTCCATGGAATGAATCGCGGGATGGTGTCTTTCTTGTTTTTCATGTGCAAAGATGGTCTTTTCTCTCTCTTTTTGTAGCCTGGTTGGCACGTCGTTTCCTGTTTGTGTAAGAGTGTATTCCTTTCGAGTGGGTGTATTGCATTGTTTCTTGTTTATTAAGCAAATATGTACGATATGTATCGTTTCAATATTTTTGTCGAAAACCTTGTACTCCCCCCCCTCATACAATGCCCGAAAGGGCGCTTTGAGGTAAATTAAATTTAAAAAAAAAATAAAACGACAGAAGTTACGTGACCCCTTGTACGTTCAATATTACCGTGACTTTTTTTTTTTAATCGCCATCATGAGCCATCATTTAGCAGACATTCAGCTTTTGCTGCAACCCTCAGGGTTGTTTTTTTTCTCAAGCCCTTAGTGTCTGCTCCGCTTAATGCTACCTTGAGGTGCAGAAGCAAGTCAGAAAACGGTAAAAACTTGGGGCTCCAATCGACCCTTTGAAGTTGGTTGGTCAGCGAAGCTGTGGTATCACCTGCAACGATTACCTACTGCACTATACGAAATGTCGCCGCTGGTCGTATAGCCGTTTCTTTTCCCTTTGCCGCTCCTAGTATTCACGCTGCTCCTCGGGAGTCCTAAGTATGCGTGGCCTATTCATCGCGGTGCTGCAGCAACAATGAAATACGGACCGGATGTTAGAAGCCATCGGAGCCGATCGGAGGCCGTGTGAGTGTCACTGGCCTCACTTCACACGAGGGCTTCGAATGACGTCAACCCCTTTCGAAGCAGCTGCAAACCTAATCTTTACCGGAACGCGTGGGCGGGTGTTCCTATCGGTCACACGCGCCTTATTATCTATCATGTGGTTTTGATGCTTGTTCTGTGGTTTTCTTTAATGAAACAAATACTAAGCTGTATGTTGTATTCCTGATTTCAAAGGAGATATGCTGTTTTGCCTTCAATTGTTCACCGGGAGTGTTTTTTTTTTTTTTTTTTTTTTGCTTACAACGACGACACGAAAATTTTCTTGACTGGTAGAGGTGTACAGCTTCGTTGTAAAAGAATTCCGCTTCCCGTCAGGCAACAACAATACTGCGAAGGCGAGAAGTACTTGACTTGCGACTTGCCATTATAAAAGGAAAAAAATCCCAAGCCCAATGCAAAAAGCAAGCTTTGTAATGTGAACGTATTTCACTGGTCTCCGCGTATCCTTCGTCGCCTCGCAGACGATCAGTCTGCTTCGACTGACCTTCGTTTGATGCAAACGATGCTTGGAAGACGGCTGCTTCTGAATAACATTTCTATTGTTCTATTGTAGTGCTTTCTATTCAAAATTGCCTCGATTCTTACAAAGCGTATTTGCGATTTTGATCACGTGATGTTTAACCTACTTTCAAGGCTTCATCGTTGGACGCTAGGCGAAAAAAATAATCTGACTGCCTTGAGAAGGCTGCGAGCAAACCTGCCGCCGCAGTTTTCTGTCCAGGCTGCTAGGTGCCGTCGACTTCACTGGAGTAGCCGATACATCAATTTAAGGAGAAGCTTTGCATACGGAATTGGAGCTACGAATGTCCGGGTGGCTCATAACGCAGTTTAGTACCCGATTCACACGGCAGTGCAGAGCTACCTTTAGCACGGGTACCTGTAGTAAAAGGAACTGGAGATCGTGATCACACGACGCATAAAGGTCCCTTTCGCTAAGGGAGGTCCTGTGTTAAACGGAGCTCACCAAGCTCCTTTTACAGCTACAGGGGGTAGCCTCGGACCCACGAACTGAAAATAAAAATCGCAGATATATAAATATAGCCTGTTTAATGCATTACAACAAATTGAATATATATAAGTAGCAAATTATTAAACGATTGTGAACACAAATGTGGTGGAATAATACATAATTGAGGAACGCATACTCCAGCTAGCAGGTAGCAGCGGCGCCACGTGAAAAACAATGTCTGCTACCAACCTGAACGCGATGGATCATTAAGAGCTGCGAGCTCTTTTTCGAGGTTTTAGACGAGTCGTCCGACTCTCTGCCCAGGACCTTTTATCCTCGTCGTCGTCCATCCCTTCTGATAGCGTGACTGGCGTAACCGTGAGACTACGATGTAGTTCGTTTCTGCCGGGCACTATTTATCTACTTCAGTGGCAACTTTGCGTAAAAATGAAGCTGCTAAACAGAAGAAGGTCACCCACCTCGTAATGGAAACACGTAAACGCAGATGATGTACGGCCAGTGTGGCCAGACGGATCGGACGTTTTAAAGCAAGACTAATTTAGGTGCGCCCTTGGACTTAGAGAATAAAAAAAAAATAACGTGCCGCCAAAGAAAAACAAGTAATATTTAGGTTTTAAAGGTGATATTTCTAACACAATAATCAAAAACTGCGCGTCAAACCGATTTCGAGGAACAATTGTTTATCACGCGCCCCTCTCGCGGTTTAGCTGGAATGCAATCGACATCAACTTAAAGTGCTCCGTTTATTTATCGTGCGATCAAGAACGCCGTTTACTACAGGTACCTTCAGCTAAGGGACCTAAGCTAAAGGTTCCTTTACTCTGCCGTGTGATTTGGGTATAAGCCAGCACTCTTGTGCGAATGGGCCCTCAGGTGGTTGTCATCCAAATTTTCTTGTTTTTCTTGTTGATTACATTGTTCTTTTTCTGCCTTGGGGCACATAAAAAGAAAACACCAATGAAGCATTGACACCATGGCCTTAGATAGGTGTGTCCCTTGATGCCCCGAGTAAGAGAGGTGCATCTTGCCGCTCAGGTAGTAGGAATGAAAACACATACAGCCTTAAGCGTTTTCAATTTAGAGAGTGATTGATTTAATATCGAGTAATTCTTGTAATTTACCGTCAGTTCTGTTTGTCTGCATTGACCATTCGCAGAGTTCACGTCGACTTCCAACTGCCTTAAAAATCGTCTTGGGAAACTCATTGATGAATTCTCTGGACGGCTTATCAGGCCCGCAAAGCATATGTCAAGCTGCCACACGTTCGGCGGAAAAGATGCCATAAACAAATATATTTGTAATTTGAATTGGACCGCTGTCCAGGTGATAGGGCCACGCCTTGGCGATGGACTTCCCGAGAGGCGGCAGGAATTGAGAGCGAGTCGTGCCTGGCGTTACGAACACCATTGAATAGCAACGGAATTCAAAATTAAAGGCGCGCAGGACGCACACACAGTCGGAAAAAAAAGAGAAAGAAATAAGGAATAGAAGCGCAGTCGCGGAGATCCAACGGGAACGCGCGTCATCTGTACCGAGGGTTCCCAAAATCATCTGCCGTCGTGGCGCCGTACGTATTGCAACAGATCCATCCATGCCGCGAGTAGACGTGAACTATGTCATATCATTATTACTGAGCTGTCTTCATGTCCTCGCATGCAACCGTTTGCGTAGTCAAAAATGCCACCGTCGCGAATACTGAACTGACTTCGCGCCGCCACCCGCAAGGAGGCACGGCTCACATTTTATTATGCCGAACAGTTACGAATGGACCGGCAACCGCCACATGAGATTACTGTTCCGTTCCAACATCAAATGTTTAATTTCTGTTACAGCTTTGTTCCGGTTCACTTAAGAATAACCGTTTTGCTTCGGGTTTTCGTTCGAGTTCAGTTCCGCACCTTTGTTACAAGCTAGGTGATAATCGCCCATGATTACAACAGGCGCTTTATCGCGTCTTGCGACTCAGGAACTACATTCTCACCGTCTACAACTATACAATTTTGGTTGCTTCACTGACGGGGCGGCGCATTTTCATTCTCAAAAAAGCGTAAGCCAGTGAGACAATCGAGCCGTCAGTCACATTCAGTGCAATGATGCCGTTTCAAGAGCCACTCACCACGGGCTAGTGAAATGCGCCATCAGTCCGTAGGAACTAGTTGAAAATCGACATATCTCGCATATGAACCTTGTCACTTCCATTCCCACTCCATTCATTGCAGAAGGCATCTAATTCCTCTCCTACTGCACTCCCCCCAGCGCTGCCACTATTTCATTCCCATTCAATTCGGGGTGGCGAAAGTGCGGAATAATTCCGGAATCATTTCAACTCCGGAGATGCAACTCCGCGACACCGGTATCCACCCACCGCTCATTGCCGCACTTGGATTGTCCACAAACATGTCCTTCGATGCTCCTCCGGGCGCAGTTTCTCTGGCGTTCAGCGCAAATTCCAGTCCACTCGACCTGGTACAAGACAATGAAAAGTCCGAGTTGCGAATTTGCATAAAGAAGAAGTTCTTGTTTTCAAAGCATGCCCGACCCTCAAATGAAATCTTTCGTTCACAAATTTTAGTGCAAACAAAGAAAGAAAAACAAAACATAGGTATGCGTAAAATAAGGTGTCATTATTATGGTAATCCGTACGAAAATGTCAGATATGGCCATATATTATAATATATGGAGTCAAATATGGCCATATTCCGCCATATATGGGAGCTAATACGGCCATATTCCGCCATATAAGTGGGCATATACTGCCATATATTGCAATATACGCGTGCAAATACGGCCATATGTCGCTGTATAAAAGTTCAAATATTGCTTTTATAGCCCGTTCGCGACATATACGGGTAAAATATATCCCCTGATAAAAATATTAGGGCCCGTTTCGGTTGTGCAAGCAAAAAGTTATATGTACTCGCGAAGACACTGGTTGATATATCTATATATATATGTATATATATTGCATGAGTCTCATGTAATTGGTTAACTATTGTTAAAATCCTTAAAGTTAAGTTATTCCAGATATTTGTACCAATTAATCAGTTGCTCATTTTGAAGACTGAAAGACAAATGAAATTTGGTTGCATGTTTCACGTGTAACAATATGACGAAGTGCATAAGATCGGAAAGCGAGTTAATCAAATAATGGGTTTTAGATCGCAGCTCTTAGGCGCCCGTTTCCGCGTTAAGTAAAGTCGGCATAGCCGTCGGCATCGGTGTAACCACCCCGCTAAATTTAGCGGGAAATTGAATTGGTGCTTATGTCACGTGACGTCAATTTTCCCACTAAATCTGGCAGTGAAACTAATTATTTTCCATGTTTCTCCGGTAAATATAGCGGGAAAACACAAACCGTTAGCTTACTGAAGATGCAAGACGCTACTTTGACGTCGCGAATCCTTTTCCCTTCGAACGGCTGCGAAGCCGTAGTGCCCGTAGTACCCTACGCAGCATCTTTCAAAAACCGTTCGCGCAGCATCGCAACCTTCCGTTTGCGAGCGTGGGCGATTCATCGTGTGTTGAAACTTGAAAGTCGGAAGATGGGCTGTCCGTGGTGTCTTTTATGTGTGACTCTTTTGTTAAAAAAATTGAAGTTCAAAAATGCGAACCTAACAGCGTACACATAATTTTAAATTTATTGGTAAATATATATATATATATAAAGGGTGGTTCAAGTCACCAGGCTCGATCTAAAATGGACCGTAAAAATCGACGCCTGCAAGTAGCCATTTAAACTTTTCGTCAAAGGTGTATTTCACAGGTCGGTTATTTCTTGTAAAATTACAAAGCGTAGTTCTCTTTTAAAAGTCCAGTAGCGGGGTGTGTTTGGCGTTCGTATTGATAGACGGCGTCGAGAGCAGCGTCTGAAAGCGCAGCCGACCAGCGAAAGAAAGCAGACGACACGCAGACGAAATCCGTTGACAGCAAAAGCGCCGCCGTTATGCAGACACGTTTTTCTTTAAGTTTTGCTTTTATTGTTCGCATTTATTTTTTAACCGAAGGTACATTTCAAGAAGATTATATTCATTTTAATAAACCACGGTGGTCGCGAGCCGTCGCGATTAATGCTAGAGAGGCTTTAGCCGCGATAAGGAGGTAGCGCCATCTATCAACACGAACGCCAAACACACCCCGGTACTGGACCCCTGTTGTCTGCGTTGCTGCCCGCCGTAGACCCTGGCAGGTTTCTTGGCCTTATTTTTTACAGAAAGGGAGCTACGCTTTGTAATTTTACAAGAAAAAGCCGACCTTTGAAATACACTTTTGACGAAAAGTTTAGATTGCTACGTGCAGGCGTCGATTTTTAGGGTCCATTTTAGATCGAGCCTGGTGACTTGGACCATCCTATATATATATATATTTATTTGTGGACATCGTGCGCAAAAAATAGTCGCGCATAGTTTTTCATTTAAAATTATATTTTGGGCTTGGACAGCTTTTCGAAGTTCAAAAGCTGGACTTCATAGAGCTCTTCTGTTCACTCGGTATTGACAGCAGGGTAGACGCTATGCGTGTTTTAGGCCAATCGTGTCTCCGGTTAGGGTCACGTGCCTACAGTCTAGAAGCTGGTGATAAGACAGAACATGGCACCTGCTTCAAATCCAAGGCCACACATAGTTTTCACTGCAGTATCAACCTTGGGTACAAGTGACAAATCCTCTTGTTGTGGTCATTGTTGAGAGCCCCAGAATATAAGCCGATAAGCCTTTTGTGTGTGCACTCCCGTTCCGGCCTTTCCTTCTCTCCTTTTCTCTTTCTCCCTAAGCTGAAAGCGTGGTAGAAGGTTCGTGGTCGCGAGGTTTCACGGATGACGCATTAGCCATTGGTATTCTTGGAATGCGTTCTGCCGGACCTAGTTTGGCGTGCGTTGCGCCCTGCGTGGCTGCTGCGGATTTCTGCTTCTGCAGTAAATTAGGAAAGTCCTACCCGTATATCGGGAACAAGCAATTAATAAAAGTTGGTACATGCTCAATATCCAGTTGGTATTTTTCTTATACAGATGAGAAGTCATTTTTGGTAGTTATTTGTAGCAAACAACAATATACTGTTTTTTTTTTTTGTTCTTGCAGATTTGTTTTAAAAAAAGCCGTGAAAGCTACACGTATGCGGTATCTGCGAGTGAGTTTTACGCCCAGAAGGACATCATGTGGGTGGCTAATTTTTGCGATAAGCCGGCTAATTAAATAAAATTCACTAATTAACTTTTTAATTAGTGAAAATAGACTAATGGTTTCAAGTGAAACTTGCTGAGCGTCGTTCAAAACCCCTGAATTGGTCATTTTTAGAAAGACTTTGAGCGCGTGTGAAGCGCAGTAGTGCGCCGAAGTTACTACTCGTGGAGCAGGTACAAGGCTGGGGCTAGATCAGAGTCGGAAAAATTGCACGGGCGCCTTACCGAAACCGCTAGTCCTGTACCTGCTCCACAAGTGGTAACTTTAGTGCACTACTACGCTTCTCACGCGCTCAATGTCTTTCTGAAAATGACTGATTTAGGGGTGTTGGACGACGCTCAGCAAGTTTCTAAGGTTAACCATACGTCTATTTTCACTAATTCAAAAGTTAATCAGTGAATTTCAAATATTACCCGGCTTTTAGGAAGGATTAGCCATTCACATAATGTCCCCCTGGGCGAATAACTCACTCGCACAAACCGCATAAATGTAGCTTTCAAGGCTTTTAAAAAAAAAAAAAAAAAAAAACAAGTCTGCAAGAATAAAAAAATACACCCTGTGTATAAAGGTTGCCATATTTGATTGGGGCATATCTCGCCTGATATGGGAGGCAGATATACCCCTCTTTGGCAGATCCACATATAGACATATAAAAAATTGGGCATATCCGGCTAGATAAGCCTTATATAAACTGATATGCTTTATATGGCCAGATATGCCATTTTATATAACCATATATTTTTTATATAAGTCCGGATATGCCATTTGCGTAAGGGCGATGTGGAGTGTTAACACTCCACATTGCGTTATAAAGGAATTGAAATGCTGAAATCCCCAAAGAAACCATTTCTCGCGGCACAGATAAAACGAACGAGCGTTGAATAATAGAATTGGCAAATTAAATAAAATAAAACTGCCGCGTTACGGTGAAACGAATGCATAATAGTACCTCTTGTCAAGTTTAAAAAGAAATGGCCGTGGCCGCCGTTCCTCAGCTAAGAAAAAAAAAACTCGTCAAATATCCCTTTTCTTTTCTCGGTGCCAGCGCACTGTGCTATGTACAGCTGCACCAACCATCTTTTTTTTTTACCTTTAAATGAGGGCAAAGCTTTTCGCGAACTGAGAAAGAACCACCGACCTATAAAGGAACGCATCTCTGTTACGTCACGGCGCGGTGGTGGCGCGTCGGGCGCACTTCCGCGTCTGGGGCTGTGGGCAGAAGTCCTTATGTGAGACGTGTATTCCTGTGTTGTTTTGGAAAGAACAAGACAAAAACCTGCCTTCTCGTCAAAGGCCGCGGCTGTGACTGCAAAAAGAGTCGAGAAAGGTTGAAGGTCAGTTTTCATGTGCTCGTTTTGTCCGAGAACGTGGATATGTACAGTGAAAAGGGAAAACCATTCGCCGTCGCACCACGATTGGTTGGTCGGGGAGCACTTTGGGTTGAAATCACGGATACTTGTGGTCATCAGATTTATTTGTTTTGTTGCAACATGAACGCCGTAAAACCGTCAAGTCGTACGGACCACATGCAGACTGCGTTCAGTGCGTCTTCAAGTTCGAACGGTCGCTTGATCGTCCGAACTGTCGTCTGCTCTTCCAAACGTTTCTGCTCGTCGTCTGCTCTTTTAGACGAAAGCGGCCCGTAGGCCAAACTTTGGCCCGGTAGTTCGGATACGAAGTAAGTGCAGGCCTCAAAAGACTTAAGTTTGAAGGTTGGTAAGCAGGCTCGATGTAAACTGTAGAAACAATGAGTTTGATCATTGTTACCAGTGCCCATCACCGACTTGTTATGCCTGATTCACTTGGTTTGATTCTGCTTACGATTTTCAGTGTCGACGTCGACCATCTCAGCTACTGTTCGCGCTTTTGCAAACCGCGCGACGTGGCGACTGAAAATAGCGAGCGAAATTTTATCATGCGATTCAGGCTTAGTCTCCATTCTCCGGCGTCCACGCGGAATGAATCGCCGCATGTCACATTATTCACGCGAAGTTTTGCGGTGTAACGAGCCTCGTTAATTTCTCTGAAGCGGCTCAGGTAGTCAGGCATTGCCCAGAAAGACATAGAATCAACAATTCGAACGCGAAAAAGGGCAAGGGGACTCACACCGACGCCGACAAAATCGCATTTCAATGGTTTCTTTATGGGCGACGCCGAGCTTCTTGCCCACACTCCATCACGCATGCGCGGCGCCGGTGGCGTCCGCTAGGGGCGCTCCGGTTTGTTTGTAAACATGAGTTGGTGTACCGGTACTATAGGGTGCTGGAAGGCACATCGCGGTTCTCCGAG